CCTATTAATTTCTAAAAAACAAAGCATGAATTCCATCTGGACCAGGTGCCTTAAGGTTGCCTATACTAAAAATAGAAGCTTTAACCTCTTGTAAAGTTAAAACAGAATTTAAAATGGCCTTGTCAAAGTCCCTAAGAGGAGGAAAGGAGGAAATAATAAAGAAGTTAGGACTTATAGAGGAGGAGTCATAGTACAGGGACTTGAAATAGTTTATAGCAAGGGCTATAAGTTGAATATGATCATACACCCAGTTATTAGAATCACCCTTAAGGGCTTTAATTAAGTTATTTTGCCTGCGAATTAGAGCAGCTTTGTGAAAGAATTTATTATTTCTCTCCTAATTTAAGCAATTTAACTTTATACTATTGATACCAAAAAACCTCTTCATGATCCAGAATGGTTTGGTATTCGACCCAAAGAGATTTCATTAGCTTAATTAGATAAAGGTTATTCCCCAAGGCTAAATTACAAAAATACCCCTAATCTTATTCATAAGTCTTTTTTCTTATTAAAAATATTCTCAAAGGTATTTAAGTTCTAATCAGCCATAACTTTTTAGAAATTAGATATGTTTTTAGTCCAAAATCTCGAAATATTCCAAGACTTTTTAACTTGACTAAAGAAGTCACTATAGAAAATCCAATTGGCAAGTAATTTGAAGGGTTTACTAGGAGGGCTAAAGTTATTCTTGTCTCTAGTCTTTAACCAAAGGCCATTATGATCAAATTTAAGAAGGGAGAGGTGAATAAGTGTGTTGTTTTGAAATAACTCTGTCAAGCTTCTCTTTAATTTTTTCACTATGTCAAGTGAACGGATTTTCTTTAAAACTCAATCTGCAAATTATTGGATAAGCCACAATACATGTTTAAGCTTTGTTTTTTAACAAATAATAGTTGTTTATAAAAATAATTTTTACTTTTAGATCTAAATTTTTCATATTAATAACTTTAATTTTATGCTTTCTTATTAAAGACACTTTTAGTCTTCTGGTACACTTTTCCAACGTAAAAAGAATTAAGCATTAAATAAGTTTTTTTATTTAAATAATATATTTTTTAAAACAAATTTTTAAAATAATTTTTTAAAATTAATTGTTTGTTTAGTATTTTTTTAGCTATGTCAAGAGTAATATCACCTATACATGATTGAAAATAATTTATTATTATTATTATTTAAAAATTAACTCGTAATTTTTTTATTATTTTAATAAGTATCGGAACACGACGATAGTAAAATTTTTATTTTTTTTAATATATTATCGGTTAGGAAGATGCTGCTGATCCAGATAGCTAATCCTTTCAGGGGACGAAAGAAAGATGTAGCTGAGGCCACAGCCACGGTAAAACGGACTAATGATCCTGTCATTCTGAGAGAGTTGCTTACTATGTCGTTGCTGAGTGCATTGACTGTTCCCCCTCTCTAAGCGGAGCAATCAGAGTGAACCCGTGGAATATTGATGCAGTAGCTGAAGCAATGGACTCTGCGCTGGAAATAATTTACCATCATTCGACTTGGTATAGTATAAAGAGATTAAAAGGGTGATATAGTTTTATTCTTTCTGATTTGTTTAGGGATAAAAATTAGAGGAAATAATTTTAGTCAACTTGTGTCGTTAACTGCTGATTATCTTTCGATAAAGACTTATTTTACGCTTTGTAAGATAGATGATTTGATTGTCGTAAAAAAACAGCCAATTATTGTCATTCATTAATAGCATATAAAAGATAATCAAATGTTCGTATAACATAATTAACTGATATTATATTAGAATTATTATTTGTATAAAAAAGGTTACATTAATTAATCAGTGAACTTTCTATACTTCACTAAGTATTATTAAACTATAATAATTTTATTATTATTAGAACGTGTTTTATACGATTAAATAAAATTCAATTAAAAACTATAATTTTTTAATTTAAAATATAAAAATAAATAAATAATAAATGCAGGAGAATTTGCATGACATAAGAATGAAATACAGTAGATTTTAAAAGTGTTTTCATTTATAGAACTAATTATATTTTCTAATAACTGCTTTTAAAAATATAATTATTTATTATCTTTAAGTAGTTATGACTTTACTATTGAGTAATTACAATTCTTAAAATGAATATTAAAGAAAAAAAACTTATGTTGTGTAATAAAAAATTATCTTAAAATTATTTTGTAATTCTTACAAATTTTTTTATTTACATTATTTAAGAAAATTTGTTCATAATGGTGAAATTACTCTTATTAGTCAAAAACATTCTTCATTCTTTCCAAAACAAAATAAGTGTTTATAATTTTGAAATTATGTGTTACACAAAAATTAATAATATTTAACTTTTCAATATCAAAATGACTTATATTGAACCTTGTAAAATTTCATAAAGCATTGTTTTTAAAAGAACTTGTAAACTAACTTGTGGAGATACAAGTTACATGATGTATAGGGATGCACACTTACGTCATTCATTATAAATTTTATTTATTTTTTGGTTTTTTCATACTCCTGTCTACCGTCTTGATTTCTCGTTCTGTAAAAGTGTCTTTGCAATTGTTTATAAGAGATATTTTGACAGAAAATATATAAAACTATTTGTTTTATCTTCCGAAATATATTTTTTATTTTTAAATATTAAAAATAAATCATCAAATAAATTTGTTTCTAAAAACAGAAAATAACTTTTTTTAATTTTTAATTTTAAATAAAAATTAATATACTTTATATAATATTTATGATTAGACAGTAAATTAATAACGACACGATAAACTTTTAGACTTCTCAATGAAAAATAATTTAACTACGTATTTATTACTTTTAACTATTTATATAATAACAATTATTTTATTTTCTAATAACATTCTTACTTTTCATCCTCAATCTAAACAATCATATAAAATATTTATATAATATTTTTATTATAAATTATAAAATAGAATACTATCTATTAATCCTTTATTTTTTTTTTATAAATTTAGCACCACCGACACCTCCTTGCAGTGTAATGCTAGAGCCTAAAACCTAAAACCTAAAACCATGTAAAAGCAGTGTTGTTGGATCGGACACAACAATCAATGTGGCTACATTTATAAAATAACATATTACATTTAATGCATTATTTTTTAACGCCAATTATGTATTAATATAAACAAGTAAAAAATATTAATCTCAATCAGATATGTTAAAAGAATAGAATGATTATTATTTGTTTCATTATATTTATAGTAATTTTAAACGTACAAACGTATCTTATTTTACTTTTAGTATTAATTTTAATTTATTGGATGTCAAAGTTGAAAATAAAAATGATCTTTTTTTATGTTATTTTATTTTATCTATTCTTATGTTTTATCATATTTTATATATTAAAAGAGTTCTTAAAATTAATTTTAAACAATTAAAAATAAAATTTATTAAAAATATTTATTATATTATTAATATAAAACTATAATAAATATCGTTTTTAATATAGTTTTTAGATGCTAAAAGGTTAACAAAATCGAAAATTTTGTAGGACTATTTTTTCTCATGTTTAAGACTAGTTTTAGATATAAAAAATAATAAAATTTTATTAAAATAAAATTTATTATGTTTTAAATATAAACGTATAATAAATATTGTATTTTCAAACAATATTTTATTAATAAAATATCAAACTTTAAAAACCAGGTAAACACTTTTATTATCTTTAAATTTAACTTTAAAACTTAGGTAAACGCAGGAAGGACTCGGAACAGCTGACATGAGCCTATAAAAAAGTGACTTGTAGCATGCTTGAAAATTTTTAAAATTCATTTTAATAAATTTTATAAAAAAGTTCACTAAAAGTTTATTTTAAAAGTTATGATTTATAATTTTCTATTAAATAAAATAATTATTTAAACACACTTATTCAACATTGTTATTTTTATGTTAGATATTGTTATTTAATATTGTGAAATAAGATAATATGTGATTAGGTTAATGTGTGCGGACAGAGAAGAGTCCATAATCTACTTGGGAGACTGGAGTTTAGCCCAGGATTGGATCTGCCGAGAATCACGCTTCTTTTAATATTCCCAAACCCACAAACACTTCCACCGTCTAAATTTTAGCTACACAAACAACGTCTAGTTTACTCTATGTTCTATTTTTCAAATGTTAATAGCACACTTAATTGGTTTTTAACTCTAATAATAAATTTTATTTCATAAGATAGGATCAATTAATGATAAAGGATTGCATTTGGTGTGAATCTTCTTCCGTTGATCACATCTCACAGTAATCGATCCCCTGCATCACTGCATAAGATGCTAAACAAATGAAGAGACCAACGACGAGAAAAATCAGGGCTGCAAACGCAAAGTGGGTTCCACAGAGACATTAAAAAAAGAAACAAACAAATGATCCTAATGGGACCTGTTGGCCCACACACCATGAGAAGTTGCCTTGATCCCCCACACAATCACATGCATCTGATCACTCTCTCTATCTCTTCCTCGTTTGGTTAAGTCAAGATTGTCATTTCCTCAAAATTGTATAAAAGACAAGGTTTTATCTAAATTTTAATATTTTTTTTGGATGTTAACACGAGTATTCTATATTCTATAACACCAAACAGTAGAGACTAGAGTGTAGAGTAGTAGGATCATTGACAGATAGTTTAGTATTTAATTATATTTATATTTGAATAAAATGATAAACTCAAAATATGATTTGGTCCTAAATCATTGTAATTCGTGTTATTTTAGTTCCGAAGTGCATACATTTATATAAATTAATCTTCGACACTACTTGTTAATAAATTTATCTTATTAAATTGTTAACCTGGGAATTATAAATTATAAATAATTTATTACTCAAAAAGTTAATTTGTGCAAATGAAAAAAAATTCACCAAATACAAATAAGTTTTCTTAATTTATTTATTATCCTAGAAAAATGAAATATCTTAATGGGTATGAGAGTAATTTGTTTAGCTTGAACATCTATCTAGCTGGTTATTTATACCCCATTGCTCCCCTCACAGTACTACCCCTCACTGCATCACTCTATAGGGAGCTATGGTTTCTCCCAACCGTTTAGTTGCTTTATCTCTCTCTTTACTTCTTCTAACTCTGCTTCTGTATGCAGCTGGGGTTAGTTCTTCTTCCACAAACGCCACTAAAATTGGCCAGGGCTATCGCCTTATCTCCATTGAAGAATCTCCTGATGGTGGCCTTGTGGGTATCCTTCAAGTGAAGCAAAAGACCAAGATTTATGGCCCTGATATTCCCCTCCTACGCTTCTATGCCAAGTAATAAGTCCTAACTAGCATCACTGTACGCATGCATTTGCATTTTTAGTAGTGTCTTTTGTGTTTCAGTTAAAAAATTGATCTTTTTAATAAAGCATTTAGTGCCTTTTACTAAAAAAAAATGATTTTTTTAACGAAGCTTCTTCATTGTTGAATTTGTAGGCATGAGACAGATAACCGTTTGAGGGTACACATAAGTGATGCAGAGAAGCAAAGGTGGGAGGTTCCCTACAACCTTTTACCAAGGGAGCAACCACCACCTTTGACTCAGACCATTGGAAGGTCAAGGAAGAACCCAATTTCAGTGTCTGAGTACTCAGGTTCTGAGCTTCTGTTCAGCTACACTTCAGACCCTTTTAGCTTCGCAGTGAGAAGGAAGTCCAGTGGTGAGACCCTTTTCAATTCTGCCTCTGATGGTTCAGACCCTTTTAGTTCTCTTGTGTTTAAGGACCAGTACCTTGAGATTTCTACCAAATTGCCTAAAGATGCTTCTTTGTATGGTTTGGGAGAGAACACACAGCCACATGGGATTAAGTTGTACCCTAATGACCCTTACACTTTGTACACTACTGACATATCAGCCATTAATCTCAATGCTGATTTGTATGGATCACACCCTGTGTACATGGATCTCAGAAATGCAGGCGGCAAGGCTTCTGCACATGCTGTTCTGCTGCTGAATAGCAATGGAATGGATGTTTTCTACAGAGGAACTTCTCTGACATACAAGGTCATTGGAGGCGTATTGGATTTTTACTTCTTTTCTGGGCCTAGTCCTTTGAATGTTGTTGATCAGTACACTTCCCTCATTGGAAGACCAGCTCCAATGCCTTACTGGGCTTTTGGTATGATTCATTTGTCAATTTTTTTTATATTTTATTTATTCTGCTTGGTGTATGTGACATTGATTTGGTTGCTATTAATATTTCCCCTTTTGTGTTAAAAAATTATGGATTGAAGAGTTGTCAATTGTGAAAAATGGTGCTTACCAGATGCAAATGATTGATAAAATTTCCTTGCCTTGAATAAAAATGGAAGGAAATGTTGTCGAATCTGTGGTTTGTTTGCATTCACTGAATTTTGTGATGTATGATTCTGAGAACATTTTCTTGGTGTGCATAATGAATTTGCAATAAATGAGTCTTGGTTTTCCAATTAGCTGTCTTTTGCTTTAGATTACCTGTATATTGAATGATGGGGATGTTTTGATATTTTTCTAAAGTTAGGTCTGCAAAATTATTTTATTTATTTGTCACTGTTTGTGTGATTTGGATCTTTGTAAACTTTTGTACGTCCAATTTTAGTTGTTGAGTAATTTAATACCTTTTAGGTCCACATGGAAAGATAAGGTACCACATAAAAGTTGGAAACTTAACTTTACCATATAAAAAGGATCATCCTTTCTGATATACTTTTGAGTCAAGAATTTGACCTTTGTGACATGATTCTACAATGGAATCCATGGGTCCTTGTCAAGGACTATCATTGCGTACACGTGGTCTATCACTTTGTCTACTTTTCTAGGGAGAGAGATCATGTTCATATTTGTATTGGATTATGTGGTCAATAGCACTAACTTTGGGGAAGATTTTCCTGTCCTTTGTAAGATAAGCTTCTTTCATAGGTAATTAACTGATCAATTGTTACAATAGGGGTCGGTTGTGTTAAGAGTAAAACATTAATGTGAAAAATTCATGGATCAGTTTTAAATACAATTTTACTAAACCTGTTCCAAGGACTTTTCATCTTCATACCCAATGTCCTTCTGGCCCATGAGTTGGACTAATCTGAAATGGTCATTGGCACCTAATCTTCTTCGATATTGCTCTTGTTTCTGGTACTGCATTGGTTTAAGAGCGCTATACAGGATTATTTCCTAATTCCTATGCACAAATCATGGCTTCATGCTTTGGGTGTTATGTCTATATATGTTTTCTACGTGGAGAGAAGAGTGGTGCTGGGAGAAGATAACTTACGATGGATTTGGTGATAGCATGAAAGATTTCATCCTATAACTCCACTCTAGAATTTGCTTTTGAAATAATTTTTCCATGACATATATATTGTTTGGCTATAACTTTTACTTGCTCCATTCACATGATGCTACTTTATTGAATTGAAAGTGTGGGTAGCATTTGGTCCTTATGCTTCCAGAACTAAGTTTAAATGGTAGTGAGTTTTTCTAGACATTTTAACTGATATTCTTACTAATTTGGTGTTATTATAGGATTCCACCAATGCAGATGGGGATATCACAATCTATCAGTAGTAGAAGATGTTGTGGAGAACTACAAGAAGGCTCAAATCCCTCTTGACGTGATCTGGAACGATGATGATCACATGGATGGGCACAAGGATTTCACACTAAATCCAGTCAACTACTCTCGTCCAAAACTTTTAAACTTCCTGGACAGGATACACAGCATTGGCATGAAGTACATTGTCATTATTGACCCTGGAATTGATGTTAACTCCAGTTATGGTGTATATGAAAGAGGCATAGCGAGCGATGTTTTTATCAAGTATGAGGGCGAACCCTTCTTGGCTCAAGTTTGGCCAGGGGCAGTAAATTTTCCTGATTTTCTCAATCCAAAGACGGTTTCTTGGTGGGGTGATGAGATCCGTCGCTTCCATGAACTTGTCCCTGTTGATGGCCTGTGGATTGACATGAATGAAGCTTCAAATTTCTGTTCTGGAAAGTGCAAAATTCCTAAAGGAAAGCAGTGTCCAAGCGGAACAGGACCTGGATGGATATGCTGCTTGGATTGCAAGAACATTACCAAAACACGGTGGGATGATCCTCCATACAAAATCAATGCCTCAGGAATTCAAGCTCCAATTGGCTTCAAAACAATAGCCACTAGTGCCGTCCACTACAATGGCGTGTTGGAGTATGATGCTCACAGTATTTATGGTTTCTCTCAATCCATTGCAACTCACAAGGCCCTTCAAGGGCTTCAAGGCAAAAGGCCTTTTATTTTGTCTCGGTCAACCTATGTGGGTTCAGGCAAATATGCTGCACATTGGACTGGCGACAATAAGGGCACGTGGGAGGACTTGAAGTACTCAATATCTACAATGCTCAATTTTGGCATATTTGGGGTGCCAATGGTGGGTTCAGATATATGTGGGTTCTATCCACAACCTACTGAAGAACTATGCAATAGATGGATAGAAGTAGGGGCTTTCTACCCTTTCTCAAGGGATCATGCAAACTACTACTCCCCTAGACAGGAGCTTTACCAATGGCAAACAGTGGCTCAGTCTGCTAGAAATGCTTTAGGTATAAGGTATAAGCTACTCCCGTATCTTTACACCCTAAACTATGAGGCTCATGTTAGTGGAGCCCCAATTGCCAGACCTCTTTTTTTCTCATTTCCAACTTACACTGAATGTTACGGCCTCAGCACTCAGTTCTTGCTAGGAAGCAGTCTCATGATTTCTCCAGTGCTTGAGCAGGGAAAAACACAAGTGAAAGCACTCTTCCCTCCTGGTAGCTGGTACAGTTTGCTTGATTGGACACACACCATTACATCAAAGGATGGAATTTATGTTACCCTCGATGCTCCTCTACATGTGGTCAACGTGCATTTGTATCAGAATACCATTCTCCCAATGCAGCAAGGTGGAATGATCTCCAAGGATGCTAGAATGACACCCTTCAGCCTCATTGTAACCTTCCCCTCGGGTGCAACCGAAGGAGAGGCAAAAGGAAACCTTTTCCTAGACGACGATGAATTGCCAGAGATGAAGCTTGGAAGTGGCTATTCAACCTACATTGATTTCCAAGCAACTGTGAGTCAAGGAGCTGTGAAAGTTTGGTCACAAGTCCAAGAGGGCAAGTTCGCATTAGATAAAGGTTGGGTTATTGATTCTATTTCTGTCTTGGGATTAGAAGGAAGTGGAGCAGTGTCTGAACTTGAGATAGATGGAAAACCACTGATGAGTTTCTCAAATGTGAGGGTCAGCACATCAGAACATGAGCACTTGAATGGTGAGGCAGATGGAGAAAGGAAAACTGTGATGGTTGCGTTGAAGGGCTTGAACATCCCAGTGGGTAAAAACTTTGCCATGACCTGGAAAATGGGGTGATAGGTTGAGTGGTTTAATGTTATTTGTGATTTTGTAACTTTGTTGTGTTATTTTTTCTTTTCTACAATTCTTGTAGGCGTTGTGAGGGATAAGAGATGAGCTATAATTGTGCTCGTCCTTTTTCATTATGACAAGCCAAGGCAAGGCGATCTGAATGTTTTTATGTTAGTTTTTATGATAGTTAGATGAAACTTCTTCTCAAAAGTGATTTAGAATTATCCATTCCATGCCACCCTCCATGCTTCGCTCAATATACTAGTATATTAATTTACCCGAACGTGAAGAAGCTAATTATTATGCTTTTATATTTTAATGTGGATGCTTAGATATTTACATGATTTATCTTTCTCTTTCAATATAAATCTACAATAATAAGAAAAACTATTCTTCAATTATCAATTGTAAACGAGATTTTGTCCAAAAGACGATTGTTGGGTGTCTTTTCCTGGAAATTGGGTTGGCAGTTGAATCCCATTGAAGATAATATATTTCGTGCCTTGTTTTTTTGGTTCTATTGAATCAAATCTCTTGCTTTCACGTTAAAGAATGTATTTTCATACGTTTTTAAGATAATTATATGTGGTTGTGAGTTTTAATATTCTCAAAAAGTTATTTAAACTCTTCCAATGTGATTTTCACATTTGCAAACACTTCCTTAAATATTAAGTAAATTCATAACCTTTATATATCTTAATCCTAGATTAATTTGTTATAATAATAATTATTACTATTTAATAATCATTGAATAATAAGACTATTTTTTTATATGTTATCATAATGATCATAAATAAGATCAAACAAATAAGAGTATAAAAAATAAATTTATTAAATTTAATTAACTAATTGAAAGTTTAGGTGATAGATTAATCATCATAATTGATTAATTCAAAAATATCAATAATAATAAAAGATATTTTTAATTGACAAACTATTAATATCATAAAATTAAATTAGTGTTTAAAAAGAATTTCATCGCACAAATTTACCTCAACTTTATGACAATGAATGTTTAGTTAAGTATAATTATAGTAATAAAAATATAATAAATTAAACATAAAGCATTCATGACTCAAAATAATGAGGAAATAAAAATTTCCGTTAATGATATACTTTAGAAAAAACTCTTAATTCATCATGAAGAATACATCGCCACCTTAGAAATATTTTTTTAAGAGAACGATGAAAACGAAAAAAAGAGTTGATACAAAGGAAGTTGAGGAATAATTTAGAAATTTTTTTTGCCAGAGTAGAAAAAATACAATGATAAATTTTTTTTTTCAAATGTTTAATATTGATTATTATTAATGAACAAATTATAAACTTGAATTTTAAAAAGAATTAAAAACTCGAATTCAACTCTCCTTCTCATGTTTTCTGCTATTCCTTTTGGTTAATGTTAGAGTTCCACCTCTTGCTATTAAGAACCTAATAATGTTTTTAAAAATTTAAAGAAAAGATGACAAATGAATAAAATCAACTTATCTTAACTATATTAAAACCTTCATTATCTCAATTATATCAAAACCTTATTCATTTCTAGAGATAATTACTCCTTTTAGAAAATAAGATGGAGATATTCATCAAATTCATTCAGTTTAATCTTAAAAAAATTATATAAAATGAATACCATTCACAGGTGTAACAAAATTCAAAAGGTAAAGAATAATAAAATAATGCAAAAGTTAAATATTTTATTATTATTTTTTATTATTAACTATTAAATACAATAATGTCTTTAATTGAAATACAACAAAAAATAAAAATAAACAATATTCTAAAAGTGGCCTCATAAAAATTCAAACAATATTAAGACACATTTCTCAAGTATGGATGCCACCAGCTTGTGGTTTGTTAGCTTTGTTAGCCTGTGACATAATTTGTTTGTTTGTTTTGGATTTTTTAACTCTTTCTTATAGAAAAAAAAATAAAAAATTAAGATACCAAAATTAATATTTTCATATGTTAATACTAATTTTTATAGATTTTTTTTTATATTTGTCTGATAACAAGCTGTCATTAAGTAAAGAAAATATTTTAAATTTAAAAATTAAAAATAAAAAACTTGTTTGTTAATGTAAATTTAAAAAAAATTATTTTCAGTTTTTAAATTGAAACAAAATGTGTTTTAATTTTTATTTTTATTTTTGTTTTTCTTCTTACAACCAATGAAAATTAAGCTAAAATAGTTTAAAAAACCAAATTATCAAACAATTTTTTTTTATTTTTTCTACAAAATTTTATAAATCTATTTTAAAATGTAATTTTAAAAATTAAAAATAAAAACTAAAACAAGCCTAATCTTTTGTTTTCTTCTATTACTTTTAATGATTATTAGGTAACTATACCATTTAATTAAAAAATTTATTAACACTACTATGATACAAATATTTTTTTTAAATAAATTATAAATTAAAATCATTTTTTCTGAATAGTAGTTTATTTTTTTTAATATAATACATCCATACAAATAATATATATTATTTAATAATTTATTTTTACTTTTTTAAATTTTAATAGTTTTTTCCTTCAATATATCATTTAATTTAATGAAATATATATTTTTAATAATTTAATTAGATATATATTTATTTTCAAATAAAATATTTATATATTGCATATGCTATTAATAATATTTTTTTATATAATTTATTATTGAGCAGGTTGATCAATATTTAGATAATTTATAAATAGTAATTCTTAAAAAATAGTGTTTCTAAAAGTAATATTAAATGGAAATATTTTTAAGGATTAATTAATTTTTTATTATTATGATAAGTGGATTTTCTAAATTCTATATTTTTTAAAATTTTAATTTTTATATATTTTAATTTTATCTAATATAATAAAATATTTATTCTTTTTAAAATTTAATCAATTTTAGAAATATTCATATAATATTTTTTTCATTAACTATCTTAACAAGTGTAGTTATTAAAAAAAAAATTGTTATAAAAAATAAAATTAAATAAATAAGTTCTAAATTTAAAACAAATTTTAAAATTATATTAAAAAAATAGTTAATGTAAAAAATTACTTGGCACAATGAGGTAAAAAGTAACTTCTAAAAGTGATCTGGTTTAAAAATACTTAAAAAGAAACTCTTATTTATAAATTTATTTTCAAAATTATATATACAAGTGGAGAGGTTTATTTTTAATTGTTAGTTGATAAATTTAAAAAGAAGAACTAAAAATGTGTCGATAAACAATGTTTAATTTGATATAGAGTATTTTAGAAATGATTTAAGTATTTATTAATGTAATTTTGTACTATGCTTATTTTTTTTTTAAGAAGTATTTTTGTATTCTTTAAGTTAAGCTTTAAAAGTATTGAATATTGTATTTTTTTATTCATAATTTTATGATGATGTCCTTTTTATTTTTTTTGTTTTAAAATGGGACTAGAAGCCCAAAACAAACAAACTAAGTACTAGGCTTTTGCCACAAAGTACCTAACACATTAAGTCTAAGGAAAGGCAACAGAAAAATAGGAGTCCTATAAAAAACAGAAGCCTTGAATTCATGATCAAGGCTAGCTCTAGCTTAACAATCAGTGCACTGACCTCTCTAAAGACATGACTAAACCTAATAAACTTGATCTTTTTAAGAAAATTCCTAATATTAATAATAATAGGATAAAAGGGATGATTACAATTTTAGATATTAGCAACAAGCATTAAAGCATCTTTAGAGTCACATTATATCCAAACAGAATGGATACTCTTAGAAATAACTAACTTCAAACCCCCCAATATACTCCAAAGTTCAGCTGTTGTCGGATGACAATAATCCAAAACCTAATGGAAACCAGCAATGAAATCTCCCTTGTGATTTCTGATAAGACTCCCATAGCTAGTCATCCTCACATCCTGAGAAACTGACCCATCAACATTAAGCTTGAATTAGTTCTCCAAGGGCGGCTGCCATTTCACCTCACGAGTGCAACCACCAAAAGCAGAATAAGACTGATTAACAGGCCTACAAGCAAAGAGAAAATAATTAATATCCACTAAGATTTTATATAGCAGACCTTTATTATTCAAAGTACCATCTTGGAAGATGGCCTTATTTCTATTATTCCAGAGATTCCAGACAACATAACCAAAAACTATATGCCAAATAGGGTACTTTGGAAAATTCTGTTTAGATAAATTAAAAACTAGCCATCTATCCAAACCTAAACTAAAAAAGAAAGACCACATATCAGAAGGGAGAATTTGATTCCAAATATCATTGTCAGCCCAGCAGTCCCTAAGAACATGAACAATAGATTCAGGGGCTTCCATACAACAGGAACAAAGAGGAGAAGCTGTCATATTCCTATGAAATCTTTCCTCATTAGTCAAAAGCCGACCATGAGCAATTTTCCATAAAAAGGAAATTATTCTAGGAGGCCCTCCCCAATTCCAAACCAGATAAAAAATATTATCCTGATAAGTAACAGGAACAACATTATTAAAAATTAGATTATAAGCAGATTTTATAGAAAATAAACCATTGTTAGTCAATTTCTAATACACCTGATCCTGACCATCATTTAGAGATGGAGGGTTCAAAGAAGCAAACATATCCCAGCTAGACCTAGGGATGAGATTCCTAAATTTATTCCAATCCCAGTTATTCTAGGTGATAAATAGAGCCACCGGGTCATTAACCAAGCTCTCAGGAATAGACTGGACAGCAACATTAGACAGAACATTATTGTCAAGGATCCAGCTATCTTGCCAAAAGCTAGCAGTCATGCCATCCCCAATAATCCAACCTAGACCTTTATAAAAACAGTCCCAAATAGACCCTATACTCTTCCACAAAGGGGAAAAGTTATGGTTGATACTATGCTTTGGGTTTTTACCAAAAGAGAATTTATATTTACTACACAAAATTTTGGTCCAAAGATCATTTGGAGAAGTAAGTAGTCTCCAGCAAAGTTTCATAATGTAAGCTTGGTTAACCATACTAATGTTCCTAAAACCTAAGCCCCCATCACATTTAGGTTTGGAAATCTTATCCCAACCAACCAGGTGACATTTTCTATTCTTTAAAGAACCCCAAATAAATTTTTTACAAAGAGTATCAATATCATTACATATAACTTTAGGAAGAAGCATTGTTTGCATGAAGTAATTAGGAATATTCATAATACAGGATTGGGTGAGAGTGACTCTGCCAGCAAAAGAAAGAGTATTACAATTCCAGTTAGATAGCTTCTTTTTAATTTTGTCTGTGATTAAGGCTAGCTCTTCTCTAGAAAGCCTAGTAGAACTGACAGGAATGCCTAAATACTTACCAAACTGAGAAGAACTTTTAAACCCCAGGGCTAGGCTTATATTATTCCTAACAGTATAGTTACAGTTTTTGGAAAAATATATTGAAGATTTATTCTTATTAAT